GTTAGAAGGGTTATAAGCAGGAGCTTGGGCTTGGTTAGAAGGGTTATAAGCAGGAGCTTGGGCTTGGTTAGAAGGGTTATAAGCAGGAGCTTGGGCTTGGTTAGAAGGGTTATAAGCAGGAGCTTGGGCTTGGTTAGAAGAGTTATAAACAAGATTTTGGGCTGGATTGGAAGAATTATAAGCAGCCGCTTGGGCTAGGGTAGAAGGGGTAGCCTCAGCTGGAGTAGGGGGAATAGACCAGTTAGAAACGGGAGCTTGGGTTGCATTAGAAGGCGTAACCTGTGATGAGATATTTTTTTGATTTTTTTGGCTATTTGAATCATTCTCCAATAATTTAATTGCCTCTTTTTGCTGGCCTGGAAGAGTGTTGGGTGGGTTATTAGAGAGATTCAAGGGTGCTTTACCGACTCTATCCTCATGTGTTGAGGAGGAATTTTTTCCTTTATCAGAGTTGCTGCCCTTATTGAGGCGCTTGATAGCGAACTTAGAAGCATCATTTGCCATATTTAAAACCGATCCCAATCCAGGAACGGCTAAATTTAAAACGGAAACTACAGGTTCTTTAAAGCCGACGTGCTCTGCGACTTTGACAGGATTGGCATAACTTGCGTAACGAAGTGTTTTAGAAAGCGTCTTCTTCACATTAGGATTTTTAGAAACCGGAGCCTTCACATTAGAATCTTTAGAAACCGGATCCTTCACACTAGGATCTTTAGAAACTGGGTGATTCAGATTGGGATCTTTAGAAATTGGAGGATTTGTCATGACATCTGTAGAGGCCTGATCATTCACACTAGGATCTTTAGCATACACATTAAAAAGGATCAAAGAGGTGAAAATAATCCAAAGCCCGTATTTGGCTTTCATACTCCGCAATGTCTTTGCATCTTGGATTTGGTCAGCTAAATTTTAAATGCGCGTGATAGGTCGAAATCATAGCTTATGAGGTTTTTTAAACAAAATTCGTTTAAATAATCAGTGCGAAAATTTGCACGCAAATTTGGATAAATATGTCTTGGCCTCTACTAGGGTCTCAATCCTTATGTTAGAGCAAGTTCCGTCCGAAAAGTCGATGGTTCGCAGGGGCGAATGATAAGTTACCGATTTAATAACCTTGATAAACGAAGAAGAACATAGGCTGTAGCAATTTTTTGCAATTATCACTTGAAGGGATCCAAATAAAATCGGGAACACGTCGTCAACGAATTGCGACAGCTTGATTGCCATGTTTGACACATTTAGCTTTTCAAGCTTGAGCATCATGACCAGGCCGCATAGAAAGCCAGTTGATATCGACTGAATGCCCTCCAAAGATAACGATCTAAGTKTCAATCTTGACAGGGTAACGATGTCGTGCAACACGTCATTGGTAATTGAAGAGTTGAACGACAAATCCAGCTCAACCAAATTGAGGAGCCCTCTTTTTATGCCGGTCACATCGAGCTGAAAGTTGCGAATCGAAAACCGTTTCAATTCTGGCAATCCCCTGATAAAATGTGCCAAAAGAGAGGATGAGGCTTCATTTTGAGGATAGAACGTACAGTTGTCAAGCGACACACACTGTAGCCTGTTTGCGGCAAAATTTGCCCTTTTAAAATCGACCAGCCGTAAAAAGCTTCCATGTGACATTTTAACCCCATTTAATTCTAACACGCACGGCTCCTGATATAAATCGAGGAACCCAGCGATCCATTTAAAAAAGTGTGTCTTGTCAAAGTCGACGTGAGAAAACGAATTCTTGACAAGTGTCAGAGATGAGAACCTGCGCTTTCCCGTTGCGTGTATTTGATTTGATGGCGTGATGCTTGAATGCAGCAAAGATATTTGGTTGAGTTTGGGAAATAAAGAGAGAAAACAAATCAGATGATCCTCCAGACCCGAGACATGAGATAGCGTGACAGATCCAATATTCGATCGAAGAGCTTGTACATTTAATCGGTCTGGTATCTTTATGTGGGAGAATTCTAAATTTTTGATGTTTCTAACCCAGAAATATTTATCCTGCAGGGCGGACAGTATCTTTAAGGGCGGCGGGGTGGGAAGATGTTTCCCGGAAATCGAGAGCCTGGATATGCCCGAGGAAGAGCTAAAAATGGCATCTGAAAACACCCCCAGCGAAATGGTGTTCTTCACGCACACTTCGGAAAATAGAGGAGGCGCAAGAAAAATCTTTCTTCCAATATCGCCTGGTATCTCGATCGAGTCATTCAGCCGAGACATGTAATATGAAAAGAGGGTCCGGTTGCAGATCGCTAAAATAGATTGGAAGTCATTACAGGAATACATGTAAAAGAAAACAACCTCTAGCACCTCGATGGGAAATACTGCTTTCGCAAAGGGGGCGGCGGACGCAGCCTCTTGCTTGATCCGTTTAACGTGTGGCATTTCGGCAAATTGCAAAGACGACCACTTTTTATATTTGCAAACTTTTGGGCATGTCCTATGTCCTTGATAAGAAATTCTTCATTGACCCCTCGATAACGATGGAATGCATTTGCAGTGACATAGTAGACATCATTGGAAACTTTAAATATCACCGTACGGCAGCGGCAAGTAAAGATCAACCGGGATCTTCTTCGCACCCAAATGGTGATAGCGACGCAGTAAACGATCAAAATGAGAGCTTGGCTAGCTCGTGGCTTAATGAAATCTCAAGCGTTATCTCTGAAGAACTGCCCCACCCAGCTATAGCCCCTATTTTTGAACAAACCCCATCCGCTGAACATGCACAGGGCTCGGAGAATGCTGCATTTGACCGGAACTTGTCTTTCTCTCCCCCACAGGAATCCGTGTCATCAGCAGCATCCACGATACTGCAATGCCTTTCTCCGGTTGAATTTCTCAAATCAGCCTTTGATGATTACACTGTCGAATCCCTCGTAAGACACAAAGAGTCTGCTGTAAAAAGCGGTCTTTTGGATATTTTGCAAAAGTATATTTCGTTCACAATGCCGGCTTTTCCTCCCATTAAGATCCGATCATCTATGCCGATGCAAAGCATGTGTTCAGACTTGGCTAAAGGTCTGCACACGCCCTCTGCTTTGGAGGGAAATCTCGCTTGCTCGCCTACTCGATCATTGTCTTTAGTAGACTTCTATTTTTCCACCAACGGCTTTGGCTCGAAAGAAGAAATTTTGTTGATAAAGTCCTTTTTTTTATACGTCATTTGTTTTCATATGCTGATATTCAACCCAATACCCGCTGATGTCAAGCCATTTATGGTCCCTTTAATGGAATCTATTATGTCTGGCGGCAGTTTTGTCAATGCTACCCACTTTCAATACACTTTCCCGTTTCAGTTTTCGGCTATTTATTCCCTTGAGGCGAATCGAATAGGATCCTCTTTTGCTAGGAAAGATTGCTTTGACCCCGAGCTAAAGCTCTTCATCAATCCCTTGATTGGCCTGCTGTTGAGATGTAAACCCGGGCTTTGCTCACCCTCCGACTCTGTTTGTGATTCCTCTTTTGCGTCTCAAAAAACATCAAACCCGGTGACACTGTCCTCTAATGTACCAATTCACTCGGTGTTCCTTGAACATTCAGATGCGTCGTCTATATTTGAGAGTGAATTCAATTATGCCTTGAAACTTGACCAGATTTGCACAGATAATTCTCTGGTAAAATGCCCAGAATACAATTATGCCTGCCAGGGCGTCGAACGCTTTAAGGTGACTTGTAGGTGGCTTAACATGGAATTTCTCGGTGAAGGCGCCACCAATGCAAGAGCCAAGGAGCACTCGGCAAAACTCGCCTTTGAATACTATCAAAAGAATCCTCACTTGCTGGCCAGCAATTCTGCTTGTGTTTCCACAAGTAGTCCTTTATCTCTTGCGCCAAGTAATTCTTTATCTCTTGCGCCAACGAGCTCTTTATCTGTTTCGCCAACGAGCTCTTTATCTGTTCCGCCTATTTTTTCCCTGTCAGAATCCATGTTAAAAAACCTAGACAGCCTTAATAGACCTCCTGAAACCTTTCTTGAGGACGAGCTTTTGGGACCATCCTTTTCTCCTCTTCGAAAGCCAAATTTGACAGCGTCTCCGTTCCAATTTGAAGGGGGAAAAAAAACATCACAACTTGTGACAGCTACAAATGATCCTTCTTTTCCATCATCGGCAATAAATGTACTTTGTGCCGATGATTTTCTCAAGTATAGTCAATACTTTATGGACTTGTACAAGAAATCTGTAGCTGATCCCTCTGCTTCCAAGATGGCATCGGAAACCCCCGATAAAGCTCCTTTAGCTACCTCTCCTTTGGGGGCAGCAACATCGGATGCCGTTTTAAAATCGCTTCCTTCAATGCTGCCCCGCTTGAATGGTGACAAAAAATACATTTCTCTAATAATGGAATACTGCCAAATGTGTCGAGTTCCGTATCCAGAGTTCAAGTTCTCTTCGCATACAGCACCGTTTTCCGGAAGGTGCCAATGGCTGGGTCAATCTWTTCTTACCGGATATGCCTCCGAATTGAAGGACAAGGTTTTCCATCACAAAAAATCAGATGCCAAGGAAAGGCTTGCCAAAATAGCCTTTTCGTACTTGCTAGTTTCCACTTTAATTGACGAAAATACGTTAACTCATCTGAAGGCGCTCGAATTGCTTCCGTTTCTTGATAAAAATTATTTGGTTGAAAAATACCATCAATTCTCCTTATCCTCCCTTCATGATCAAGATAAAAAAAACCAGGGAACTTTACAAAGGATGCCAAGTGATTTGAACGAGCAACGGGTATCGAGGTATTCGTCTAGATCGACCTCTAGGTCCTCTTCTAGATCATTCCCCAAATCTTGCTCTAGATCATCATCTACATCTTCGTCTGGGTCATCCTCTAGATCATCGTCTACACCTTCGTCTGGGTCATCCTCTAGATCATCATATCGCCCACGAAGTAGAGCAGAAGGCAAAGATCCTTCTGATGTCCAATCGCGTAGTCTCAGTAGAACTAAATCTTCACGTGAATCTTCTCCACAGAGGACATTTTCATCGACCAGTTCTCGCAGGCATGAGAGCTCTCATCGCTCGAAACATTATAAGCATTCAAAAGAGTAAGGGTTTCGCAACCTTGCAATATATACTATGGGCGGTGCCCCAGATTCTGTTTGTGGCAAATTTATCAATCGAGATAAATAGGTACAATTTTGGCTACAATATTTACGGTAAAGAT